AGTAAGAAAGGGGGGTAAGAAGTTCTTTATTTGAAATTTAAAGGACCACTCTAGGCACCCAGACCACTTCAGCTTACTGAAGTGGTCTGGGTGCCAGGTCCCTCTAGGATTAACCCGTTTTTTTTATAAACATAGCAGTTTCAGAGAAACTGCTATGTTTATACTGAGGGTTAATCCAGCCTCCAGAGCCTCTAGTAAATGTAAATGCTTTCCTATGCGACCGGCTGAATGCGCGCGCGGCTCCTGCCGTCGCGAGCAAGGAGGAGTACAGCTCCCCGCCCGGCGGTGGAGAAAGGTAAGTGTTTAACCCCTTCCTCTCTCCAGAGCCCGGCGGGAAGGGGTCCCTGAGGGTGTATAACACGCACCTCATTTTAAGAAGGAAATTTCAGGGGGAAAAAACTTAAAGGACCACTATAGTGCCAGGAAAACATACTCGTTTTCCTGGCACTATAGTGGTCCTTTAAGTTTTTTTTCCCTGAAATTTCCTTCTTAAAATGAGGTGCGTGTTATACGCCGGTGCGTGTTATACGCTGATAAATACGGTATATATATGCTAATAGTAATAATAATAATCAGGAGGAGGTGGGGGGATGTGAACCTAGAGAGTGGGGAGGGACCGATGCCCAGTATGGAAGTAGGGGGATGACAGCTCCAAAAGATATGTAACATGATGCCTTTTTGTGACAGACAGCACTAGCAGTGATTAGAAGTTCCTGCATAGATGTGAGCTAGTCAGGTGCTAGATACCAGTGGTATAATATTTTCCAGCTAGGTTTCCATTGAGAAGTGTTTTGGGAGACCCCTCTCATATTTTTAGCAGCCATAGCCCACTTGGAAGCTGTGAATCTGGTTTGGAGCTTCAATTACAATTTCAATTGAGTGAATGGCATTGTTTCGGGACTAAACCCCATATTAACAATATACTAGAGTGCACTAAGGAAACACATAGTGATAACAAAACAAACTTTTTGTTTGTTAATGTTACAAGTGATTATAGTTTTCTCAATTACCTGTGCTCAAAATAATAAACCGGTTTATCTTTGACTAGCAAATGCTTTTTTTTTGTGTTATAGGTGAAATTAAAAATATGGATGAATCTACCAATAATATGCAGCAACAGAGTTATTTTCAGAAAATGAATTTTGAGAGTGGAGTGACTGCTGGAAACACACTAACTGAGATCTTCATAGATCAACTTCCTGTGGATGAACATAGTCACTTTAATAACAGCGATAATATGGATAGTTTTAAATATGCTATAGAGTTTACTTGTCCAATAAATATGGAACATCCATCTGGACTCACTCAGGTAAAGATAGGGGCATTGTTAGGGCCAGAAAATACATGGGACATGAGCCCAAAAATAATTTTGGGATGCCTTCTTAAGCCCTACACTGACCCCTCCATAATTGCACTACTTAACACGCCTCTTTTTAAAATTTAAAATTGGAACAAGGAAATCGGTCCTTTTTTTGCAGTAGAAATTCTTTGGAATAATCGAGCTTTTGTGGATGTTTTTTTCTAATGTTTTATCTGATACTGCCCTTGATGAAGTAGCTGCTAGGGACCTACCAGAGAACCTTGAGGAACTTATAACCCATCTTACCCATATTGATGAGAGGTTGAGACATAGGCAAAACACAAGAGAAAGATCTAGAAAAGCTGCTGTATGATTGGCTCCTTTATTTCCTGCTGACTCTATGGCTTTGGCTATACCTGAATCTATGCTGCTAGGCATGACAAGATTGACTGAGGCAGAAAGAATGCATAGAAAAAGAGAGGGTCTATGCATGTATTGCGGAAAGAGGTGGTCAGCTTTGCTTATCTTGTCCTGAAAGACCGGAAACTGGAGGGGAGTCATGATGTCCGTGGGGCCAAACCCACCAAACACCAACGTGCTCTCATGTTTTGGGGCCCTTTTTACACCAAACATATCCCCAATCATATAAAAGCACACTTAGGCCAGTACACAGTGCCCTGTTGCATTCTTTTTCTGTATTTTGTCCTTTTGATATTTGACTCACCTTTTCCCTTGACCATTCTGTTTTCTGGTTCCCTTGACCTGGCTTTGGCTATCGTTCTTGTGATTTTCTGGCTCCCTTTGACCTTTTCTTGTTCTGACATTGTTTTATAATTTAAAAAAAAAAATGGATTAGTCTGGCCACTCAAAGGCCACTTTTGTAATGTTGGAATACCACACGGTTTAAAACAGTTTTTTAACATGATTTGAAGAAGAAAAAAACCCCAGTAAAACCTCTGTACAAAATTGAAAACAGAAACTGCAAATGGACAGCTGTTTATGGCGTTTTGCTTTGGAGTAACCCATTGGTTGCATGTCCTAATGCAGAATTTAAACTTCCACATTGTTAATAGTCCCCAATTTCCTGAATTAATTAAACATTTGATTCCTCTTTGTGAGTATTCAGATTTTAGTTATTAGATATAGTTTTTTAGTGTGCCTGTGATTTCTTGTCTTCTTTTTTTAAAGTGATTTATATCCTTTTGCACTATCTTCACATGTATCGTTATCTACTTATTCATGACTTTCATCTATTCATATTGATTCTAAACGGGCAGTATGATCACACTAGATCAGAGAATATGATCTCTTTTGTGTTTTTCCACAGTATCCTTAATTATATATGTATCACTCAAATAGTAGTAATAAAGTAAATTTGTAATAAATGGAAACTTCAATGAAAACTGTGGTTTCTTGTTTCGTTATCAAGGTGCTGCAGCCATTAATGTCCCAGTCTAATAGTGTTAACAATTATGAAAACTGGAAGGAAATGTCTGATGAAATTCTTCATTCTCCCAGCATGCCTGACTGCACAGAAGGTAATACTAATAGTTGTGAAATGGTTATTAGGATATAGATAAAGTAATAGCTATTTGTCAGTCACTTTTATTATTGAGGTGAGTGCACATACAATGTCAGCCATGTAATACTTGGCAAAATGGTAATAAAGATGTGGATAAAGGATCCCATATAAATGCACAAACTGTTGAACAAGGTATCATGTAGGCAATTAGGTGTTGGGGGAAGCACTTAAATCATGAGTAGCATAATATACGTCTAGAATCAGACAAAGGTTGTGTGTCTGTTTCCTCGCTGACACAGGGAACTCTGGAACACTTCAGACTTAGTCGCTGAAGCTTGCCTTGGGTCTCTCCGGAGCTCTTCCATCCGACCAGACTGCAGCTCTCTCCTTCCAGGCAGGTATTATCCCTTCTGCCTATTCCTCTGCAGTTCTCCTTCCAGGTAGGTGTACCCACTTCTGCCTGTACTATGATTAGCTCCTGCCTTTAAAAAGACACTTGTGGCTCTCAGACCTAGCTCTTTTGACTTTGTCCCATGCTACAGGGACCATGCAGCAAGACAACAGGTCCAAAGACTCTGTTTCCAGGATCCCTGAACAAATTAGACACAGGACATACAATTCCAAAAAGAACTAGCACAGAATGCTTTATTTTGAACTAGGACTAGCGTATGAAACCAATCTCAGACACAAACTTCAATGTTTAGGTGATAAACCACCACCTATAAAACACTAAAGTGTCAAGTACAGCGCTAAATAAAATAACATGCAAATAGAAAAATGCTTACCCTTCTACATAAACTTGGGGAAATGATTGTCCGCATGCATAAAAAGAAAATACAATAGTGCAATATTGTTGAGATATGCTCACAATTTTTTGAGCCTTATACACATTGTGGTTTTCAGTGTAAGCGTATCTGTGCTTTTTTATGGACAACACAACCTTTTCTATGGACCATTCAATATGTTCCAGTGAAGTACATAAGAAATAAACAGGAGATAAAAGGAGCAGAAAATAGTGAAGTATCTTAATATATATTTTACATAGTACACAGGTTTGGTATTATGCTCACCTTTGTTAGGAGTCCATAGAATACTTGCTTTAAGTTTGTGCACATTTATGCCAGTTATGGAGTGGCAAGTTCCCTTTATCCAGACCCAAAATGCAAAATATCAGGCCCAAAAAGACTTTATACATATGTATGAAACAACTCTATAATTATAAAAAATAGCAAAATAATATTATAAAGTAAAGATAAAATCATACAAAAGTGTGTGATAGATGTCTTGTGGGCCTCTGAGACGTGTTTCACCCGCTTCTGGGCTTTTTCAATCGATATGATCAGCCTCTTTGGTTATCCCTTTTAAAGAGAATGTCTTTATTGCCTGATCCAATACAATGCTCGATTTGTCAGGGGCGTGATGAGGTTTATGTTTCTGTTTACACCGTATCATTCTGGTGTTCCCATGATTAATGTCCCCTTGCTTCCCTCTGTGCAATATCTCTTTCTTTGAGAGAAAAATCTTCATATTTCCCTGCCTATTTAATATAAGATGAAAATGTGGCATTTGGAAAAGTAGTAGAACTAGGCAAGATACAAAATACCAACAATTATCAAAGTAACTTAAAGGGATACTATAGTCACCAGAACAACTACAGCTTATTGAATTTGTTCTGGTATGTAGAATCATTACCTTCAGGCTTTTTGCTGTAAACACTCAGAGAAATGCAGTGTTTACATTACAGCCTAGTGATAACTTCACTGGCCACTCCTCAGATTGCTGTTAGAGATCCTTCCTGGGTCATGGCTGCCTAAAATGCATCCAAACATTCAGTGTCTCCTCCCTCTGCATGCAGACACTGAACTTTCCTCATAGAGATGCATTGATTCACTTCATCTCTATGAGGAGATGCTCATTGGCCAGGGCTGTGTTTGAATCATGCTGGCTCTGCCCCTGATCTGCCTCTTTGTCAGTCTTAGTAAGTCCTATAGGGAAGCATTGTGATTGGATCAGGCTACCACTTCTAATGATGTCAGTAGACTGCTTGTTTTTTTGTTTTTTTTGAAGCAAACAGCATGCAGAGTTACAGCTTCAGGCTTGAATACAGTAAGATTTTGCTACATTTATGGAGGCATGAGGGGCCCAGGTTTTTTTTTTTTACACTATAGGGTCAGGAATACATGTTTATGTTCCTGACCCTAGAGTGATCCTTTAAGAAGGGTTGAAAGAACTACAAAAAGACAAAACAATTGTAATCAAACCAGCAGACAAGGGAGAGGGCATAGCTGTAATGAATAAAGATATGTATATTAAAGAAGGACTGAGTGTTACCTGAATACACTAAAGCCAATTAGATTTGAGCCTCTCCCTAACACGCTCTTACCCACTTGTTCACTGTATGACAACAGGTAGTGTTGCACTATATGTGTTTCCGATGCTTAACCCCTAGGGGTACGTGGTATATTAATTCTAGCGCTACACACTCTGGACTATTGGTGGAGTTTTACCATATAGTATTTTTCTGTATATATTGTTGTTGTAGGGTGGAGAGTTCCTACGATTGTGTGAAAGCTGTTATCACAAATAGTTTTGCACTTTATTGCATTCATAAGCGCCTTAAAGCACAGAGCATGTTTTGCTCACAATCGCTCCCTGAGAGCCAGGAGGAGCACCCCATATTTCGTCCGTAGGCGCCACCGAAAGTTGACCGGCCAGAGCACTAATCGTTCTGGAACTATTTTAGGCAAAGGATCACGTGTGCGGCTGCTCATAACTTTACCCCGGTGGCGATTCCCCTACACTGCATGGATCTGAGCAGTATTTGACAACTTTGGCGCTCAGGTCAGGGCCATTTGGGGAAATAAGACATGTGGGGTTCCTGTATGTTTTGGGGTACTTTTTATGTTTGTCTCTCTATATCTGTGAGATAATTCATTGACTCCCAAGACATAGAGACATCTGGGCGGAGCTTGCATTGTATTGTATGGAGACCCTATGCCGGGTTCTGTGTATAAAATCAGTTGTACTCCCAGAACTGTGTGTCATCCAGTTACTACCCTGTTTCAGGAAGGAGAATTTCGAAGAAGACCCCAGTCAAGCTACAACAACTGGGGCATAAGTGCTGCAGTTTCCCTGGTTCAAGCTAGGAAGTGATCCTTGGTGGAGATACCCAAGGATAACGCTGCCAGTCTCCGTAGTGTTGGAACTCATGAATTTGGCAACCCAGGGAGGAGAGAATATCGTCCTCCCTCCCCAGTGGCAGTGTGCGTTCCAGGGAGAGGAGAGTATCGTCCTCCCTCCCCAGTGGCAGTGTGCGTTCCAGGGAGAGGAGAGTATCGTCCTCCCTCCTCAGCGGCATTATGTGCTCCAGGTAGATGAGCCGGTCGGTCTCTCTCTCCAGCGGCAGAGTGTGTTCCAGGGAGACTAGACTGTCAGTCTCACTCCCCAGTGGCAGTGTTTGTTCCAGGGAGAGGAGAGTATCGTCCTCCCTCCCCAGCGGCAGGGTATGTTCTATTGAGAGGAGAGTATCGTCCTCCCTCCCAGCGGCAGGGTATGTTCCAGTACAGTCGGTCTTTCTCCCGAGCGGCAAAGTGTGTTCCAGGGAGGGGAGACAGTCAGTCTCTCTCCTCAGCGGCAATGTGAGTTACTTGGAGTGGAGATAGCCACCGCTATAGAACTCTATACTTTGTAGTTTCCTGGTCATTTTGTTCTGATGTTTTGACCCCCTTGCCTATCTGCCAGGAGAGTGCTTTTTGGAGGGAAGGTTCCAGAGACTGCAAGCAATCTATACATAAAAATACTATATGGTGAAACTCCACTAATAGTACAGAGTGTGTAGCGTTAAAATTAATATACCACTTACCCCTAGGGGTTAAGCATCAGAACTGCAGTGCTGAAAAAATAAAAGACATAGCACAACACTGCCTGTTGTCATACAGTAAACAAGTGCTCAATGGATACACTCACATGGGTAAGAGCCTGTTAGGGATAGGCTCAAATCACATTGTATGATCATACATTGCATAAGCCTACCACAACATCAATGTACCCCATCATGGACAGGTCCTTCCCTAACAGCCAAATGTCTGCTAAATGAGCTAATTGTGAAAAAAATTCCGTCTCGAGTTCTCTGCAGTACAAGGCTAAATAGGGTCCTGTGATGAGGCACCTGTGACAGGGAGGGGTGCAAAACCAAGGAGTTGACTAGATTCCTAAATATATATCCACTGCTCAAAAAAATAAAGGGAACACAAAAATAACATATCCTAGATCTGAATGAATTAAATATTCTTCTGAAATACTTTGTTCTTTACATAGTTGAAGGTGCTGGCAACAAAATCACACAAAAATAAAAAAATGGAAATCAAATTTTTCAACCCATGGAGGTCTGGATTTGGAGTCACACTCAAAATTAAAGTGGAAAAACACACTACAGGCTGATCCAACTTTGATGTAATGTCATTAAAACAAGTCAAAATGAGGCTCAGTAGTGTGTGTGGCCTCCACGTGCCTGTATGACCTCCCTACAACGCCTGTGCATGCTCCTGATGAGGTGGCGGATGGTCTCCTGAGGGATCTCCTCCCAGACCTGGACTAAAGCATCTGCCAACTCCTGGACAGTCTATGGTGCAACGTGACGTTGGTAGATGGAGCGAGACATGATGTCCCAGATGTGCTCAGTTGGATTCAGGTCTGGGGAACGGGCGGGCCAGTCCATAGCATCAATGCCTTCGTCGTGCAGGAACTTCTGACACCCTCCAGCCACATTAGGTCTAGCATTGTTTTGCATTAGAAGGAAGCCAGGGCTAACTGCACCAGCATATGGTCTCACAAGGGGTCTGAGGATCTCGGTACTTAATGGCAGTCAGGCTACATCTGGCGAGCACATGGAGGGCTGTGCGGCCCCCCAAAGAAATGCCACCCCACACCATTACTGACCCACTGCCAAACCGGTCATGCTGGAGGATGTTGCAGGCAGCAGAACGTTCTCCATGGCGTCTCCAGACTCTGTCACGTCTGTCACATGGGCTCAGTGTGAACCTGCTTTCATCTGTGAAGAGCACAGGGCGCCAGTGGCGAATTTGCCAATCTTGGTGTTCTCTGGCAAATGCCAAACGTCCTGCACAGTGTTGGGCTGTAAGCACAACCCCCACCTGTGGACGTCGGGCCCTCATACCACACTCAGTCTGTTTCTGACCATTTGAGCAGACACATGCACATTTGTGGCCTGCTGGAGGTCATTTTGCAGGACTCTGGCAGTGCTCCTCCTGTTCCTCCTTGCAAAAGGCGGAGGTAGCGGTCCTGCTGATGCTGATGGGTTGTTGCCCTCCTCCACGTCTCCTAATGTACTGGCCTGTCTCCTGGTAGCGCCTCCATGCTCTGGACACTACGCTGACAGACACAGCAAACCTTCTTGGCACAGCTCGCATTGATGTGCCATCCTGGATGAGCTGCACTACCTGAGCCACTTGTGTGGGTTGTAGACTCCATCTCATGCTACCACTAGAGTGAAAACACCGCCAGCATTCAAAAGTGACCAAAACATTAGCCAGGCGGCATATGAACTGAGAAGTGGTCTGTGTTCACCACGTGCAGAACCACTTCTTTATTAGGGGTGTCTTGCTAATTGCCTATACTTTCTACCTGTTGTCTATCCCATTTGCACAACAGCATGTGAAATTGTAGATTATGCTAGCTTTAGTGTGCCTATAATCTTAATTTTATTAATGACAGGAGGCTTCGTATTTGCTTAAGTCTCTCTTTACTAGAACTCCACAGCAGCACAGAAAAAACAACCAATCAGAAAAAAGTTAGGTACTATAAAACTCCCCTCCCCATACATCATTTCCTCTTTCAAGCAGCGACAAAACAGAACAAAAGGCAGAAAAAATAATGGGGAAGAAACGAAGTCCTAGATGAATACAACAATGTTCACCATCTGAGAAGCACAGCCAACTAGATGACGTTGGACTGTAAACTGAAACGAGAGAAAAAACAGAATCGAACAGGTTGATTAGTCAACGAAATGTACTCTGAACAAACATGTAGGTAACCAATGTAGCAATCAAAATTACCTTAATATGTAGATATCCCAACCCTACGTATGAAAAACAGATGACATTAAAACAAGTGACAGGTAGCAGAGACAACAAGCAGAGTTGCATACGTACCTGATGAACCCAAACCATTAAAATTAAACAAGGGGGGGCGTGGCCTGGCTACTCACGAGAATGGACGCGTGAGAGATCAGCTCCGACGGGGGTAGCACACAATAGCAGCGATTATCCTATCATACCCGACAAAAAAACCTGCACACACCAGCACAAATGAGACCTGCACCGACTATGTCCATACGCACAGCGAAAAAAGCGAAACTCCGACCAGCGGAGCTGCAAATAGCGGCACTTACACCGCCGCGAGGGAAACCTCAAAATGGCGCCGAAGGCCCTAACTCACCCACTGCCTACTCAGAACGGAGTGACAGCACCTCAATATCCATAGAGCCCACCATACCGGCCTCAGAGACGGCAATGCAGAGAATGATGCAAGAACTGCAAAATAACTTGCAAGCTGAATTTTCCAAACTTGCCAGAGACGTCCGCACGGATATTAAAGCGATATGTGAGCGCACTGCACAACTGGAAGAAAAGACGGACGAAATAATAGCAGCACACAATAATCTTGCCTCAGGATATGATTCATTCGACGCAAGACTGAATGCACTTGCAGCAAAAATGGCGGATCATGAGGACCGCGACAGGCGAAATAATATCCGCCTGCGCTGTATTCCTGAGGACGTTAAACCCGTTGAGCTTCAAGATTATACCACGGAGCTATTCAAAGCTTTGTGTCCTGAGCTAAAGGCTGAAGAACTACATCTAGATAGAATACATCGACTACCGCGCCCTAAATTTCTTGCTCCCACAGCTCCACGAGATGTGTTGACGCGGGTTCATTATTTTGCAGCCAAGGAAAAAATCATGAGAACAGCTAGAAACCCAAGCAAAATGCCGGAAAAATTCACAGGTATCCAGCTCTTTACAGATCTATCAGCGGCTACACTAGCGAAGCGCAAGGAGTTCATGTCTTTCACAACAGCTCTACGAAACGCAGAGATCCAATATAAATGGGGATACCCCACTCGCCTCATAATAAGGAGAAATGGAGTGGAACATCAAGTTCACACAGAACTTGAGGGTCTACGTCTTCTTAAAGAATGGAATCTCCCTATACCCACACAAGGCGGACGTGCTGAAGATGGGACCCACCGACAATCTTCAAAGATGGTGACCAAAGATTGGCTTACGGCATCCAAATACAAGTGAAGGACATTTCCCTGTCCATTTAAGCATAGCAGAACTATACTCTTGCACACTTCGCCTGACGACACGTGAGCATTTCTCACTGCTTGAAGGCAGTCCATATGCATGAGAATCGTGTTACTTTATTTAGTTGTCTCATTTATGTATGTTTTGGTTACGTTTATATTGTTGATGCTATAATGATTATTAGAACAGTTGCTCCAGATTTAGGAACAAAGCGGGCCAGAATCAGAAGGGTAAAATACACACGCACATGACTACCCTCCCCCCATTCAGGCTCTAAAGGGCCACGAAATACTACCAGACGGCAGATACCTCAAATCTGCAAGTCACACTGTACATAGTTGCCCTCGGGCACTTAATTACCCTATACCCTTCTTTTCCTTCCCCAATTCCCTCGAGGTATCTCACAGTAACTTGGAATGTTCAAGTTTGTAGACTAATCGCACAAGAAGAATACAATAACCGAATATATCGAACACATAAGAGTTATGCACGACATATTCATATTCACATTACGGTGCCACAGGGAAAAACTCACATAGAATCTGATCTTGAGAATCTCTACAATTTAATAAGACATGAAAGAACTACGACTGCCTGGGCACCGCTTAAACAAGCCACCTTCAGGTTATTGCTCCACATTCTCCAACAATGCTCCAAAGTGTATCTAGCACCCTATGAGACACACCAAAGATGACTCTTAAAATATTATCACTAAATGTTAAAGGTCTTAACTCCCCTCACAAAAGGAGACTCGCACTAACCGAAGCCACTAAACTTAAAGCCCAAATTGCTTTTTTCCAAAAAACCCACTTCCTTCACACTAATATGCCCAAACTCACTTCGAAACAATTTCCCTTAGGGTTCCATGCAGGATATACCAAAAAAAAAAGAGGCGTATCTATATTGATACATAAGGATGTTAACTTCAAACTCTGCAGGAAAGTTAGAGACAAAGAAGGCAGGTTCCTTCTACTTCATTGCACTATAAATGAGGACCCATTCACACTATTGAATGTATATGGCCCACATGAAAACCAAAAAGACTTTGTATCCAAAATTATATCCTTGGCCCACAAATTCCCTTGTAACAACTTGATCATTGGGGGTGACACCAATTTTATACTTTTTTTTTTTTTCAATATATAATCTTTATTCGGAGACATCAACTCCGCTTTTTTTTTTTTTTTTTTTTGACACAATAGAATTAACAACAGAGAAAAATACAATTAACAACACATCCCGTAAAAAACATGTACAGTGAGACGCACATAACATCCTTAACCTCATTACTTTTTTCACATAAGTTTGAAGTAGTATAGATACATTTAGTGAAACACCTATGTTGTTTAAAAATCTCACTGTAAACAACACACATACAAAATGACATAACAGGACAAAACATCAGATGGTCATATGAGGTCACTCTTAATATAGTATCAATATTAATTTAGGTCCAAAGAAATTTTGGACATCTATCTATAAATCAACAACGGCCTCCAACTTCGCCACCCAGGAGTTATAGCGTTCTTGATATTTTATATTTAACCCAGCTTCCATTTTCAATTGATATTTAATTTGTTCCTTAACTACGGGCCATGAGGGCACCAACTCCATTTTCCAATACCTTGCGATAGAAAGTTTCGCGGCTAGTAGTATATGCAAGATAACCGGCATTGAACTACCACTAACCTGATGGATATTTAATTGCAAAAGGCATATCTGTGGTACCATAGGTAAATCAATCAAAGTAATAAGTTTTATCTTAGATAAAATCATTTTCCAAAACTTCTGTATATACCTACAGTCCCACCATATGTGTAGATAGTTCCCACATTCCACATTGCATCTCCAGCAATTGGCGTTACCTGAGTTACTAAACTTCTCGATTTTACTGGGGACCATATACCACCTATTTATGATTTTAAAATGGCATTCCATCAGATTAAGACAATGGATATGTTTATAGGTAAGATTTAGAGCTTCTCTCCATTGGTTACAAGTAATCTGATTTCCCAAATCTCTTTGCCAAGAATTAATTATAGCTTTTAAGGGTTCATCTGAGTTTTTTTGTAATAGGTTTAATCCCATAGATAATAGTTTTTTTGGAGAATCCCTATCAAGGATGTTTCCTATATCCCTTAAGCGATCACACCTTTCTGTGGTAACATATTGATGACAAAAGCCTTTTAGTCTAAGGTAATTGAAAGTCTCCCTATTGTCTATTTTATATGTTTGTTTTAAAGTTTGGAAATCCATCCATCCGTTTCTATCCATTAAATCTTGAAATTTATATATGCCTTTTTCAATCCAGCTTTTTACGTTAAAATTAGTCATATAGTAAGCTATATTTCTTAGAGAAAGGGAAGGGATTAACTTATTATAAAGACCTAGTGAATTTTTAGTTTTTTTCCACCCCCTTAGAACATTATTCAG